TGTATGGTTATGCAACAACTGTGGTAATATGACTATTTTTAATTTTGCAAGTGTGGTATGTACCATTTGCTTGATCCATAACGTCATTTTTATTTTTATTTTCCTTTTTTTGATCAAACAACGTCATGTTGTTTACGACATGTTTCTGCTCACTAGTTTACTCATAATTATAACTAACAACTATTTGACTTTTTATATAAGTATGCCAGTCCAAAGAGGAGGAACACATGGTTGCCTGTGATCAACAAATTCAAGTCTAAACTAGCTTCTTGGAAAAGGAAAGTGCTTTCTTTTGGGGGGAGGTTAACACTGATCAAACCAGTGTTATCCTCATTACCAATGTATTACTTCTCTTTATTTAAAGTACCTGAATGCGTAACTAAGTTGCTTGATAAAATCCAAGCGAAGTTCTTGTAAGAAGGCTCAGAAACCAAAAGGAAGCTTCATATGGTGAAGTGGAAGGAGGTCACTAACAAGAAATGATGTGGAGGTTTGGGTATTAAAAGGTTGAAGGATGTTAATGAGTGTCTTCTAGCCAAATCGTGGTGGAGATATGGTGGTGAAGATCAAGCATTGTGGAAAGATATTGTGACTAGTAAGTATAGTAGCTCTGGTGGGAGATAGAGACCTTTCTTGGCGGATGGTACTTAGTGCTCAAAATTTTGGGGTGATATTCTCAATTTGGAACACAGCATCCCAATTTGTTTAGCTTCTTCATGGAAAATTTGGTCTGAAAACATCTAGATTTATTGTGGAAAGCTCTTTTGAAAATCTAGATGCGTCCTGTTTAATGTGATTATTGATTTAAGCAATCCCATTAAAAATTAATGCAACCACGATCAATGTAAATAAGAGAGACTAAGAGAAAACAATCCACGACTCAAAATATTTTTTACGTGAAAAAATCACAATTGGAATCCACCAGCTTGTGATAAAAAACCACGGGCCCTCAGCTAGACAAATAATCCACTATGTAAGAAAGGTAGTACAAGAGAGCTCTTACAAAGGCCAATCCAAGCAACACGAGTCCACTCACCGATACATCTATTTGCTCACTCTATAGGTACCTCCACAGTCTCCACAGGATATGCAGCTACAGTTGTCGAATCGCCACGACGCCAATGATTTCGGAATTCACCAAAATCTACAATTTTGGAATCCACCAAGAAGATTCACTTTTGGAAAGGTGTGAAAAACTTGTTACAAAAACTTGATGAGTAGCTTTGAGGCTCTTGGATCCTAATGAATCATCAAGTGACTAAGAGTATTACAGATAAAGTCACTACAAGTTCACTCTCGAAACAAACTCTCTCAAAATATTTTCTCTTACAAAAATGATCTCTCTCAAAATATACTCTCTCAAGATAGAAAATATTTGAACTCTAGAGAGTTAAAAAATAAGCTGGGAGAGATGCCAAAATGTTCTTGGAGAGGTGCCTCAACAAATGAGTAAAGGGTCCTTTAAATAGACCTGAGGCAGGGCTAGTTCGCGGGCTGGTCGTCGGCACAGTCCACTGGTCGCCGGAGCAAGGTGCCTTCAGGGGTTGCAGAGAAAATACTGAGAGCTAGACTTTCGAACATACCACAATTGCGGGCGTGAAGCCTTCTATAGTAGGCGCGATTGTGCCCATCGCGGGAACTACGTGTAGGGTCGCGAGCGCGACCTTGGTGTGCTCCAACAGCTTTTGTAAACTTCTGCTCTAGGTTTTGAGGCATGTTCTCTCGCATGCTTTTAACAGTTTAGACCCTCAGCAAATAGCTTTCTTTTGGGCTAGAAAAGTCCACCATGCACACATGTTTGTCCATCACAGATTGACAAAGAAGAATCCCAATCTTTGCACATATGATTCTTTATTTCTTCATCAATGTTTTGTCATCAAAAAGCTTCGACAAATAGCCACCCTAAGCCATTCTTTTTGGTTGGAAAATGTCAACAACCTCCCATGCTTGTCCACCAAAATTTGTCAACAAGATCATCTATACAAATCATACTTTCGACAAACAAAATCAAGACAAAACATAATCTTCATATCTTGACATTCTTGAGCCTCAAAATGTTCTTGGACTTTTGCGCATGCATGCCATCAATGAGGATCCAACAAAATCCACAAAAAGATCACACATGTGAAGGATGATCTTTAGCTGAATTTTCTCACCGAAAGATTGAGACAAATAGCCTTATTTAGCATCTCAAAGTTGGCATGTTCAACTTTGAACCCTTATGGCATGCTCTACAAATCTTTAACATTTGAGAGGCACAATAATCAAGAAGATAGTCAAGGTGAAAGATATAAAAATCAATTGAAGAAAATCAAAATAACTTGAATCAATGATATTAAGTTTTGTCAAGAAATGTATTGCCAAAACATTAACTCCTTTAGGATAAAAATCTTAACACTATCATTAAAGTTGGGAATGAGAGAAGGATTAGTTTTTGGGAGGATCATTGGGCATTGAATAGCAGCTTGAAGGTTGAGTTTCCAAGGTTATATGAGCTATCAGAAGACAAAGAGGTCAATCTTAAACAAATGATTGACAGGAAGAGTAGTTCAGCTGGGTGGAACTTCAGTTTCAGAAGAGGTCTGAAGGCTTGTGAGGAAGATGAGGTGGAAAGACTTAGGTCCTACCTGTCTACACATGAGCCAATTCTTTCAGATAGAGTTGACTCCTTGGTTTGGAAGGCCTCATCTTCAGGTTTGTTTACTGTGAACTCAACGTATAGTAGGTATGATGTGGCTCATGGGTTCGAGGCTGCTAGGTGGATTTGGGAGAATTTGTCCCCACCAAAAGTGCAATTTTTTGGATGGCTCGCTTAGAAGGGTAGAATTAAGTCAAGAGCTTTCCTTTAAAGAGTAGGGTGCCTTAGCCAGAATGCTAGAACAGAGTGTGTGTTCTGTGGCTGTGCTTAAGAAACAGACTATCATGTGTTGTTGCAGTGCTCGTTTGCTTGGAAGATCTGGACAAGCATTCTGTCCTGATGGGATATGCAATGGGTGACTTTTGAGAATGCTAGAGGTGTGTTGGATTGGTGGAGAGGGTACAAATGGGGTAAGCTTGAAACCAAAATTTGCAATGTAATTCCATTTGTTGTTCTATGGTCCATTTGGAATCTAAGAAATTATTGCATATTCAATGGTAAGCAGCACCACTTAGAGGAGGTCTGTGAACTGATTAAGACTAGAGTTGCCCTATGGATCAAAACTAACACTAATGAGTTGTAGTACTTTGTTCATGATGTGGTTGATAATTTGCAACAGGTTAGAAGGTGCCTGGGTTAGTAGGAGCAGCATTGTGGAGAGCAGTAGCAGCATTATGGTAGTGTCTGGTGTGTTTGGGTATTGACTTTGTTTTGGTCTGGCCTTGGTTCTTGATTTGCTGCAGTGTGCTTTTGGTGTCTACTGATATGATAGCCTGGGGTCATCTTGATTAGGCTAGCAATGTGGTTTTGTACCTCTTGTCCTTTTGTTATGTTTTTCTTCTCTTTTGTTTTGTGTTGGTTCCTCACCAACCTTATGGTTGTGCTAGCATATGGTTGACTTTCTCCTCGGTGCCAACCTAGTTGGAATTGGAGTAGTTTGTTGTGTTGCTTTATGCACTTCCCTTCGTTATTGATGTAATCTCATATGATATGTATGTTGTAGTCATCAATAAAGTTTCCTTTTTTTACTGGTCAAAAAAAAAAAAAAAAAAAAAAAAAAAACAAGTATATAGTTACCTCAATTTGAATTTTAAAATTTTTCTTAACCATTTTTTAATAAAAAAAAATACGATGCATATTTTATTTTATTTTTTATTTTTTTTGTATAGATAAATATTGTATATTAGAAATATGTACGATGCAAATCAGTAGAATATTTTCTCTAATACAATAAATTAAATTCTATGTCTTTTATTTTCATAGGGTCCGACTCTTGACCTTTTCAAGGAAGTTTAAGAATTCTTAACTTCAAATCCATCTGAAATTATTACATTAATCTTAGAAGACAGTGTTGAGGCCCCTAAAGGACTAGCTAAACTTTTTGATGCTGTGGGGTTGACACAATACTTGTTCCCGTTGTCAAAAATGCCTCAACATGGTAGAGGCTGGCCATCAGTTGAACACATGGTTGTTAATAATCAAAGGCTTGTCGTCTTCACTTCAGCCAAATCAAAGCAAGAAAGTGAAGGAATTGCATATCAATGGAACTTCATGATTGAATATAAATGTACGCAAATACATTGCTTTTCTTTAGTTTTGAATCATTAATTCATATATATGTGTGTGTGTGTGTGTGTGGAAGAATAATATGTAAATAACAGCTTGAAGTAGGGTGAATTACACCTAGTTCACTCAACTACTTGCAAATCTCAATTTACTCTCTCAATTATGAATATGTATACTTTGACCTTTTCGACAATTAAAAACTATATCAATGTTTCCCATCTAAAAGGGTTGAAAATAATGCATTTTCATAATTAAGGGATTAAAATTTGTGGGTTTAATAATTGAGGGGATCTTAGTGTTGATAGTCAATTGTTTCAGTTCGTGTTGTTGTATCATTTCAACTATTTGTTTGAGTAAAATTGGCAGATGGAAGTGAGGGACAGCAAATAGGGAGCTCTACTAAACATGAGGGGTCATTAAAACTAGACAACACAAGTAAATCATTGGTGCTCGTCAACTATTCACCACTAAGTTTCACTTCATGCGACGAAATGAACATTGAACATCTTATGAACACACTTCGCACAAGTTGTACTGCAGCTGGCAACCAATGGGCAAATTTTATTGCTATTGATTATAAAAAGGTATATATTAATTTTAGCAACTAGAACTTTATAGTTGTTAGAACTTGGTTCTTGATTTGCTGCAGTGTGCTTTTGGTGTCTACTGATATGATAGCCTGGGGTCATCTTGATTAGGCTAGTAATGTGGTTTTGTACCTCTTGTCCTTTTGTTATGTTTTTCTTCTCTTTTGTTTTGTGTTGGTTCCTCACCAACCTTATGGTTGTGCTAGCATATGGTTGACTTTCTCCTCGGTGCCAACCTAGTTGGAATTGGAATAGTTTGTTGTGTTGCTTTATGCACTTCCCTTCGTTATTGATGTAATCTCATATGATATGTATGTTGTAGATATCAATAAAGTTTCCTTTTTTTACTGGTAAAAAAAAAAAAAAAAAAACAAGTATATAGTTACCTCAATTTGAATTTTAAAATTTTTCTTAACCATTTTTTAATAAAAAAAAATACGATGCATATTTTATTTTATTTTTTATTTTTTTTGTATAGATAAATATTGTATATTAGAAATATGTACGATGCAAATCAGTAGAATATTTTCTCTAATACAATAAATTAAATTCTATGTCTTTTATTTTCATAGGGTCCGGCTCTTGACCTTTTCAAGGAAGTTAAAGAATTCTTAACTTCAAATCCATCTGAAATTATTACATTAATCTTAGAAGACAGTGTTGAGGCCCCTAAAGGACTAGCTAAACTTTTTGATGCTGTGGGGTTGACACAATACTTGTTCCCGTTGTCCAAAATGCCTCAACATGGTAGAGGCTGGCCATCAGTTGAACACATGGTTGTTAATAATCAAAGGCTTGTCGTCTTCACTTCAGCCAAATCAAAGCAAGAAAGTGAAGGAATTGCATATCAATGGAACTTCATGATTGAATATAAATGTAAGCAAATACATTGCTTTTCTTTAGTTTTGAATCATTAATTCATATATATATATATATATATGTGTGTGTGTGTGGAAGAATAATATGTAAATAACAGTTTGAAGTAGGGTGAATTACACCTAGTTCACTCAACTACTTGCAAATCTCAATTTACTCTCTCAATTATGAATCTGTATACTTTGACCTTTTCGACAATTAAAAACTATATCAATGTTTCCCATCTAAAAGGGTTGAAAATAATGCATTTTCATAATTAAGGGATTAAAATTTGTGGGTTTAATAATTGAGGGGATCTTAGTGTTGATAGTCAATTGTTTCAGTTCGTGTTGTTGTATCATTTCAACTATTTGTTTGAGTAAAATTGGCAGATGGAAGTGAGGGACTGCAAATAGGGAGCTCTACTAAACATGAGGGGTCATTAAAACTAGACAACACAAGTAAATCATTGGTGCTCGTCAACTATTCACCACTAAGTTTCACTTCATGCGACGAAATGAACATTGAACATCTTATGAGCACACTTCGCACAAGTTATACTGCAGCTGGCAACCGATGGGCAAATTTTATTGCTATTGATTATAAAAAGGTATAGATTAATTTTAGCAACTAGAACTTTATAGTTGTTAGAAACAAATTATTTATTGATTTACTACTGATATTGTGTTCATAATCATTATTGTTGTCATCGTAGAGGAGTGACGGAGGAGGAGCATTTCAAGCTGTAGACTTCGTAAATGGGATGCTATTGTGCATGTGTGATGATGTCAATTCATGCAAAGTAAGTAAAAGTTAAGAAATCTTCAAATGGGCAAACATTTGTTGAGACAAAATTTATAATTTGTTTACTTGTTTTTTACTATTTATTATATATCTCAGATGTTTCTTCGAAAACTTTTCAATGAAACAATGACTTTTTAACTACAATATCACAGGAGCAGAATGCATTAATTAATATCAAAATATAAAAGAGAACTGAAAAAATGATCCCTACTTGAGAATTATAGGAGTAAAACGGTTAAATGGAAATGATAGAACACTGGCCAAATCAAACTCGTGGTCATTGTAGTCTATTGTGTCAATTTGATCTTTACAGATCTAATGTCGTTAAAATTTTCCTATATTTTTTTGCTTTTTATTAACTTAGCCCAATTGATAATTATTGTTAGTCTTTTTGAGACCCAAAAAAAATTCAGTGCCTCACGTGACCATTTTTGAGGGGCAAAATAGAAACAACATTGTATGGTTTGAAATTTTCAATAACTATTTTGAGTTTTCAATTTGTCTATGTGAATTCTTTTAATATTTTAATCAATATTTATTTATTTTTTTTACTATATAAATTTTGAAAACTCTAAAAATAAAGTCAATAAATGCAAAAATAAAATTAAAAAAACTACTGATCTTACTATTTTATTTATTTATTTATAGTATTTTTTTTAAAGATTTTTTTCACCGATTTTGTTTTTTCAAAGTATATCTATATTAAGTAGATTTAAGAAGTAAAAAAAATTAAAAAAAAAGTTTAATCACATTCTCTAAAAAAAAATACAAATTGAAAACTCAAAAAATTATTTTTGAAAATCTCAAACCAACAAAATAGAAAAATAGACACTTTAATATGATTTTGTTTTGCAGGGAGGTGAAGAGAGATTTCAAGTATCTATGGATGAACTTTAAAGATTTCAAGTATTTATGGATGAACTTTAAAGTTGTGTTTCTATTACAGATATGGGTAGGAATTTAGAAAAGAAAAGGAAAAGATAAAATCTGAGTGAAATATAAGTATATTTTATTCATATTTCATCTATTTTTTCTTTTTCTTTTTAAAATCCTTACTTAAATTCATAATTCAAAATGCCTAAGTTGCTAAACTACTAGAGATCCTATAGCATGCTATGAAGACGAATCAATCTTGCAAAGTAGTCACTGTAATGGTTCATTGGTGTGCCTTATGATGGTATTGTTTGGCTTATTTTTTCCTACAAGGAAATTTTATAAATGTAAGCATATTAGTAAGGATTGAAAAATCCAAACGGAGTAAATTTAAATAAATTATCAAGTAAATGTGAAAGATTCTTTTATTTCAACGAAATGGACTTCTAAAATTACTAAATATAGAGAAAAGAAAAATAAAGGAAGAAGATAAAGAGGTGAAGAAGAAGATTGAGTAAACAATCAAAATAATTATTAATTTACTTTTACTCCTATGCTTTAAAAAAAAGTGCAAAAAATAAAACTAGAGAGTTTGGTTAAGTTTTAGAATCGTGATTCCAATCAAAAAAATTTCAAAACTCATAACTAAACACCCAATTCAAAACTCTTTTCAAAATTCATAACTAAACTTTTTTCAAAACTCTATTTTCTTTTTAAAAAAATTGAAAAAATATTTTTTTTATTTTGTTCTTTAATATTATATTTTTCAATTTTTTTTGTCTTTTTGGGAAAAAAATATTGTTATTTTTTGAAGTATTGGCCAAATAATTTGTTATGATTTAGATATATATATATATATATATGGACAATCCAAAATTTTTTTAAATTTTTAAAAATTAAAAAAATTAAATACATCAAAAAATAAAAATATATTTAAAATATTAAAAAATAAAATAAAATATTTAAAATAAAAAATATGAAAATATAAAAATAAAAATTATATATTTAAAACAAAAAATAATTAAAATATTTAAAAAATATAGAGCACAAATGTAGTAAATACAACACACATTAAAATAAATAAATAAATGTTTACAATAAAAAATATTTACCCTAAAAAAATAAAATAATTTTTTAAAAATATGTAAAAGAATAAATCCAAAATAATTTCAAAATACAACTCAAAATTCAAAACTATTTTCAAAACTTATAACCAAACAAGTTTTTCTCTTTTAAAAACTTATTTCAAAAACTTGTCTTTCAAAACACAAATCTGCACTCAAATCATGATTCTAAAATTAAACCAAATAGAGTTATCTATATTTCTAATAAAAGAAATGACAAAAAATGGTTATTTGTAAGGGAAAAAAAGTGGAAGAAACAGTTACCTATTAACTATCTTATTATCTCATCTTCATTCCTTCCAACTAGGGGTGATAAACAAACCGAATAAGCCAAACAGTTAACTGTTCAAGTTTGGTTTAATAATTTTAACGAGCTTCAAATTTGTTCAAACTTGGTTTGTTAAACTTTCGAGCCGAGCTCGAGTAGTTTGATATTTTATATAATTTTAGGCTTATTGAACCGAGTCGAATGAGCAATTGACTGTTCAACCTTGGTTTGAAAACCTTAAAGAGCTCTAAAGTATATTCAAACTTTGCTTGTTTATTTAATGAACTGAGTTCAAACTAACTTTTAACAAGCCAAACACGAGTCAAGCTCAAGCTGTTTCGTTTGTTTATCACTCCTACTTCTAACTCCTCCAATTTATGTTCCATTTTCTCCACATTCTCCATCATGTTTTCCACGTGTTTAATGCTGCTTTTTTCTACTCCTTTCATAACTTCTTATGACCTCCAAGTAAGCAAGACAATGCTACGTGTTCTACAATTATAACTAAAAAATAATGATAATAATTATTTATTTATTTATGGTGACAACCGATATATTAACTCTAGCTGTCTTGACTTATTATCGAATGTGTAATATGTAAAATTTTGTATTTTTTATAAAAAAAAAATGTCATAAGAAGAGAAAATTGAAAACAAAAAGGAAGTCATAGAAGGAAATGAAATAATATAGAAGTCTTCATTTTTATGAGATATGATCAGTAATGGCGTTGATTATGAGCTAATATCATGAATAGATTAAATCTAAATCAAATATCAATATTTATATTAAAAATATAAGTTAAAAAGAAGAAGAAGAATAAAAGACGGGTGTTGGCTACATATTTTGTATAAGCCAATTACAGTTCGACACATGGTTGAACGAAGGCAATACGGGAAAACAATTCAAGTCCTCAATCATAAGCTCACACGTTGCAGTTAGTATTGATTTTTTGTAGATCTGCATAGCACTGGATCAACAAAGAGATCCAAGATGACGTGGCTTCAACGGTTACTCATATTTAAATTCAAAATCAGGAGGGAAACTTACCTGCAGATATGACATAGTGGAGCTAACTTTAAGACAACATGATCAGTGATCATGGAAGGATGGTTCGACGGTTAGAAATGCAGTTCGACGGTTGTCATTGAGAAGTATAAATAGTAGAGAAGGCCTGAGAAAATCCCCCCAGACTCAGATCCAAAAAACCAGTTTTATCTACTTTATTTCCTTTCTAGTTTTTACATTTCTTGTTCTTTACATTTCTGTACTTCAAATTCCTGCATTGCACTTCGTTCTTCAAATTCCTGCATTGCACTTCGTTCATAGGAGTAGTTTCAAGTAGTTTGTTGCTATAAACCTCTATGAGGTTGATTTGGATCTTTGTAAGTTTTTCATTTTACTTAATGAAATGCTATAATTGTTCTTCGTTTGATTATTGTTTACTTAATTTTCCTAAACAAAGCCCCTAGAAAAGTCCTCTTCATTGAGGCTGAAAGAACTAAAACACAATCGTCTGATAATTGGTTGGCAATGGACATTCTGTAAGGACTGATTGATCCTTGCTGGCACGCTCACAATTATAAAAATAACCTTCGAAAGCCAAAAAGCCAACATATATTTTTGGCACGCCTAGTGCGACTTATTAAAATGGCTAGACATAAGAGACAAGGAGAAAATGAACGCTTGGAAGAAGGCGTGGAAGGAGAGATAGAAATGCCTAATCCAGAGGATAATGTGATGACACATCCTGTGGAAGTACCTGTTTTATCAGAACCTATGGTCGAACAGACCAGCACTTCAGAACAAGTACCACATGTGCAAAGTATTGGACGAGGCCAAGGAATTGGACCATCCACTGTTCCATCTACTCAGCCAATGAATCCATGGGGAGGGCTAGTCGATGCCATGGGACAACAGTTAATGAACACAATGGAAAGATGGGTAACATCCTTTTTGGATCGAATGAGTACTTATCAACCAACTAATGCAAGGCATATAGAGGAAAATTCAAATGTCCCTCAACAAAGATTGGCTAGAGATAAACAACCTATGCAAAATAATGGACATACTAATGGTAAAACTAGTAACCAAAACCATGAAAGACCACCACTTCAGTCTTGGTATGAGCCTTTTTCGAGGCCTATGGCAAATCAAAATGCCTCATTACTTAACAGTGAAGCCATGCAAATTGGTGGATCTGGCCCAACACAAGATAATGGCATAAGGATGTTTCCAAATCCCATGTTCGAAGCCATACTTGGTACGAGGGGATTCACTAATCCTTTATTCGAATTTATACCCGGGGGGTTGGAAGGTTTTCCTACAACTGGAAGAGACACAACACCTGTTCCAGCACCCTTCATAGGTCCTTTTGCAGGATAGGCTCAAAGGGGTCACTCATACCCTCAACAGCAGCTAGCACCATAGGGACAACCAGTCCCAAACAGACCACCCTATGGACCAAGAGGACCACAGACACAAGGTTGTCCACCAAATCCTGTGTTTATTCCTCCAGTAGTGGTTCAACAAGCGCAAAATATGGTCCCTAGGGACCAAATTGCTGATATTGTTAGAGAAATGTGTGGACCAATGGCTCGGGGGGTTCAAACTCCTGTGTACAGGAAACCATACCCAGAATGGGTAGATAGGGTACATCAATACCCAAGAGGCTTCAGGATACCAGACATTGCCCTTTTTTATGGGAATGGAAACCAGTCAATGGTTAAGCATATTGCTAAGTTCGCTACTCAGTGTGGAGAATTTACCAATAATGACTACATGAAGTTAAGATTGTTTCCAAATTCTCTAATTGGGGCAGCCATTGTATGGTATATTAACCTTACACCTGGCTCTATCCAAACTTAGCAACAAATGGAGGAGGCATTTCATGCTCAATTCTTCCAAACAGAGCTGGAGGTTTCCATGGTAGATTTGGCAACATTGAGTCAAAGGCCTGATGAGAAGGCTACTCAGTTTATTGCCAGATTTAAAAGAGCACGAAATAAATGTAGGATCATCTTACCAGAGCCTAAATTTGTGAGATTGGCTCAAAATAGTCTAGACTTTAGGCTTCAAAATAAGTTTGATTCAACTGAGTTTAGAGACTTAGTGGAACTTACCTATAAGGTGTCTACGTATGAAGCATTACTCGAAGAAGAACAAGATTGAAGCAATGCATCGTACAAGACGTATTATAGGGATCCTAACTGTGATATTGATGCAGCAGAAATTATAGGGATAGAACCTGTGATCTGTGAAGCATTAATTCACAAAAACACAACGATAGACCAGCATTTTAAAAAGAAAGACCTTCATAGGAAATATTTTTTCGATTTGACAAAGGCAGATGACATTTTTGATCATTTGCTTGCTGCAAACTTCCTGAAGTTACCAAAAGGAGTCAAAATTTCGTCTCCAGAGGAACTTAAGGGAAAAGTGTATTGTAAATGGCATAATTCTTGGTCTCACTCAACTAAAAACTGCATTGTTTTTCGAGACAGGATTCGGGAACAGATTCAAACTTCCAGAACTTGTCCTTGAAGGAGTTGGAAGAAGTCAATGTGCAAATGCATGTTGCTAGGCAGACTACTGTCAAGAAAGACACCAGAAGTTTGCCAACTATTGGACAAGGTTTCTCAGACCAGAGGGAAGACTCTGATGAAGAAGCACTGGATGATAATTCTTTAGAGGCAGCAGTCATGCAAAGAATGTGTCCTAGATGCAGGCTGAGCTACAAGTGATTGAAAGGGCTTCCGATTGATGGGAAACAATATTATAAGGATGTGCAGAGGAGTCCTAAACCGACCAGTGCTTATAACAAAAGGCTATATCCAACTGGTATTAGGCAACAGCCATTAATGGCTGAGCCAACAGCCGCTAGAGTGCACTCCAAAGGCAAGAGACCTCTACATGAATCCAGACCACCTAACTATTACAGAATAGAGGGCAATCACTCTGAAAGGAGATCTGAAAGGAGCTC